CGGAGATCGAAAAAGGCGATGATCGAGAAATGACTCCTATTTGTAGCTTCCCTTGCAGTCCTGCTCGTCGGCTAACCATGAACGAAGGCTATGGATCGTATAAGCTTCTTACTCCATCTTGAATGCACGTGGTTTCCCATAGTTGTTTCAAAAGTGGGGATTGGATCTTTTGGGAAGATGATGCAAATACATCAATGTAATTGAGAAATGGTGTAGTGTAACCTTCATAATTTGATAGTAAAAACAGCTTTCACTTAAAGTCTACTACATAAAAGTTTATATCCATTCCCATTGTCTTGTGTTTTCGAGATTTGTTGATAGGAAAAAGTAGTGTTAATGACGACTGTGAATGGTTTATTTTTCTTAGTTTGAGCTATCCAGGGTAGGGGTGAGCATCCCATCAAGTCCAATCCAGTTCAAAAATTTCGAGTTTACAACTAGTACTTTATTTGAAATTTTTTTATGTCGAGTCGATTATTTGAGTTTCTATACGAATTTTATTATAATTATTTATAGTATTATGGCAAGGATTTGTTCTAATTTTTTGACTTTCTCTAACCATATAAGATATATATATATATATTATATTCTTTTCACATTAAAATGTTATTTAATATATCAAATACTATCTAAAATCATGAAATATATTAATAATATTATATTTTAATGAAAATATTTTGAGGGTAAAATATTGATGAGAGTATAAAGCAATCAATGAATTGATGAGAAGAAAGAATTTGCAAACAATTGTAGTCAAAAGATCAAATTGAGTAAAATGCAAAGTTAATGGACTAAATAAAAAGATAGAGATTACATTTTTAGGAAAAAAAATTAAAGCAAGAATTGAAGTTACATATATATTCTATTGTGGTATATGAGCATGTGGTTCAAATTTGGTAAAAACGGACTTAAAATAAAAGATGAATTGAAGAAATAAGGAAATTATAAAAAATTAACGAACTAAATTGAAAAATAAAAAAATTGTACATATGTATTCTACAATGATTTAGGAGCATGTGGTTCAAATATGATAAAAACGAACTTAAAATAAAGGATGAATTGAATAAATAAGGAAATTATAAAAAATTGAGACTAAATTGAAAAATAGAAAATTTGGTATCAAAAAAGGAATTGAAAGTACATGTATTCTAAAATGGTTTAGGAGCATATCGTTCAAACTGGGTAAAAAAGAATTTAAAATAAAGGATGAATTAGAGAAATAAGGAAATTATAAAAAATTAAGGACTAAATTGAAAAATATAAAACTTATCATCCAAAAGAGGAATTAAAAGCACATATGTATTCTACGATTGTTTAAGAGCATGTGGTTCAAATTTGATGAAAAATCAAACTTAAAATCAATGATAAATTGAAGAAATAAGAAATTATAAAAAACTGATGGACTAAATTGAAAATAGAAAATTTGTTATCAAAAAGAGGAATTGAAAGTACATATTTATTTTACGATGGTTTATGAGCATGTAGTTCAAATTTGGAAAAAAAAATGACTTAAAATAAAAGATAAATTGAAGGAATAATAAAATCATGAACTAAATCGTAAAATTATCAAAATACTTGGTCAATTTTTTGATTTTATAGTAACTCGAAATTTCAAATTTTCAACTCAACTCAAACTCGAAAACCGAATTGATAATTCGAGTTGACTCGAATAATTCAAAATTGAAAAAATTGAATTTTCGAGCCGAATCGAATTTTGCTCACCCCTAATCCATGGTTCTATTGAATTGAATTAAAGAAATAAAACAATGATGAACCTAGGGGATGGGATGGTGCGATCGCACTCCTAAAAAATTTAAATTCATTTATATTTTAAATATTTTCTTTGTATTTTATATAAATTATTTAATTTCACACCCCTAAAATTTTATAATCTTGTATCCCTAAAATTTTAACATATTCTTTTATATTCGTACCCCTGACACATTCATATATCCGTCTTTGAAGAAAAAAAATAAAGTAGAGAAACTAATAGAATAAGAGTTCAGTTTTTTTCCAGCCATACAAATTGACTTATATACTAACGTCTAATATTGATATCAGATAATAAATTTAATTTTAATAGTGAATTATCAGTAGTCATATTATGAGATTAATTAATTAAAAGGATATAAAATTCTAAAAACTTTTATTAGTATAAAAATTCTTTCGAAAATTTATTAAATAGAATATCATTAATAGAAGTACGATTTGTGAAAGAGAGTCGAAAGAGGTATAATAATATTTAGAAAATATGAATATATATATATAGTGTATGGTGGCTTTACCTTTGCTGTTACATAGGATAAGCATTATCCACCGATGATGAAGATGACGACGGTGGTTCCTTCAAGTCAAAGAGAGGGAATAGGGGATCCGCAATTGAGAGACGCTTTAGCTTTTAGTCACGTAGGTATTTTCATATTGGCTTAATATAAAAATAGTTTTTAAAATTATATTTAAAATTAATTTTTAGTATTTAAATTTTTTTTTTTTTAAGAATAGGTTTCCATATTTTTTTGCTTTTAGTCACGTAGGTATTTTCACGTGTTTTGCTTTTAGTCACATTTAGATGTTTTAAAAAATAATTTTAAATATTATTTATTTAAAAAATAAAAAATATATATAAACATAACACGTATCACTCAATGATTTTTTTAACGGTAGACATCTAAAAGTGTAACGAAAAAATATTACGCACCTAGTTTTAATAAAAAAAATTATTTAGGGATCAAAAGTTAAATTTTGAATATAATTTAAGCACATATTTTTGTATTAAGCCTTTCATCTTTTTATTATTTTATATCTAAATGATTATAAATTTCTACTCAATTTTACATCTAAATATTATGGGTTAAGATCCACTTACACTAGTATAAAACTAAAAAAATTTCTCCTTTTTAGGATCGTTAGATGAGAAGAAATCAAAGACTGAGATTAACTCATTGTTTTTTCCGGTAAATATCTTCTTATTTTTTACTATTAATTTCAACATTTAATTTAACCTCGTCCAACAATCCTAAAAAGGGATCTATATATAAATTTAAATGTTCCTTATAAATTAGGATGAACTACATATTTAGTACTCCTACTCCTACTCATTTTTATATTTATGTTTCGATAATTCAACAATTTTTTTATAAAATCAAACTTAATAATATGTTTTTTTTTTCTCTTTTAATCACGAATCATTATTAAATTTAGCTGTGAATTAATGAAAATGATGGCATGGAATTGTTCTCATTTACCTTGTTAAAGAGAAAGGGGCGAGTAAAATTATCCGGGTTACGGCCTTGATGTGTCACTCTGATATAAAGGTCAATCCAGTCATGGCTCAAATCAATTGTTCTTTAGTCTCCTACGGCGATTTTTCCCAAAAAAATATTTTTTAATTATTTACGTATGCGATATTGTTAGAAAAAATATTATGGATCTAACACCTTTTGCAGAAAGACACATCTCATGCATCGCGTCTTACGCTGATGTGGTGGCACGTGGGGTAAGGCGCGACCCATGCACCACGCCTTCTGCAACATGTAAAGATCGGGTGTTAGTTTCGTAAATTTTGTTAAAATAGTACTTAATATGTAATTATTTTTTATTAGGTATTTTTTTGTGTAAAAACATCAACTTTTATTATTTATTTTTTGTGTATGCAAAAAAAACTTTCTGCATTAAAATCTTTAAATCTTATTTTGCAAATTATTTTATAACTCGATAAATTTTGGTTTTTGCATGAAAAATTTATTGACTTTTAAAATTAATTGTTTAAAAATATAAAAAATATTAAAATAAACTTTTAATTATAATTGAGGGATCAAATGATTTATTATTTATTAATTATTATTTTTTAACAACATTATTCATTTTTAATAAAATTAGAATTTAATATTTATTTTATATTTTTAAAATTAATATTAGAAAAAATATTTTAAATATATAGGTGATATTTTTTTAACTTTACCATCTTTTTTTTTATTGAATTTTATTAACTTTTAATTCTTTTTTATTGTATTTTTGTTGAATTTTAAATATATGAGTTATATTTTAGATTAATTATTTATTCTGCTATTATTCAAATTAATTAATAAAAATTATGATAAAATGTTTTTAAAAGAAAAGTATAAATACATACATGAAAATCTAAATATTTTTTTGTGTTACTCTCTAAACTTGTAACAAAATTTAATAAAAAAATGTAAAGCTAAAAAATGTCACCTATATATTTAAAATATTCTTTCTAATATTAATTTTAAAAAATATTATATAAATATTATATTCTAATTTTATTAAAAATGAATAAACATTATTAAATGTTGTTAAAAAATAATAATTAATGACTAATAATTTATTTGATCTCTCAATTGTAATTAAAAGTTTTTTTAATATTTTTTATATATTTAAACAATTAATTTTAAATGTTAATAAATTTTTTAAAAATATATGAAATTTATAATTTTTTAAATTATAAAATCATCATTTTGTAAAAGAAATACTAATTATAAAACTTTTATAAAATTATTCATATTTTAAATTACTTACCCTCAAAATTTTAATATAATAGATTATACGTATTGTATAATTTCATGAAAAACTACAAAAAAATAAATTAAAAAATTGATTTTTTACACAAAATCACTATAACAGAAATTATTTATATATTAGACATTATTTTAAAAAAACATATGAATATGTCTTTACACATGACCTAAGGTTGTTTCTTTCTGCAAAAAAGTTTTAAATCCGTAATATTTTCTCTAACGATGTCTGACACGTAAATAATTAAAAAAAATGATTTTTCGGGAAAATCGCCACCTCTTACCATGTTGAAAAGCGAATGCAGATGGCTCGGTTATTTGGTCGAACACTTGGCGGGCGTAAACGAGACCGGATAAGCCAACTAAGGCTTCGATAAGTTTGGGAAGGTACGTATCGAGATACCAATTATATTGCCATGTGTTGACAATGGCAATGCCAACTGCATGAACATAATTTTTAATTAAGATAAAAGGGTATCTTAGTTACATCATCCCCATTGATTCTAGTTACTTGGCAGAAATAACAGATAGCAAGAGCAAAAGAGGTAACTAATTCCTTGTTTCTCCTGAACTTAAAATAAGCTGGCTACATATAAAAGCAAGTAGAGTCGAAGCTCGTTAATCAAGAAGCTTGGTATCGCATATGCAACTGCCATTTCCGACCGAATGGGACATCAAGCAACACTCCACCCACGGCGGATTTCTGGCACCACCACTCGATGGCACTCCGAGCAATTGAGTTAGCTTCCGTCTCAGTGCATCAGTGGATGAAGAATTGAAAAATCTCTCCTAAACAAATGCAGCAAAACAGAATTGAACAATTTACAGGAGCCATGAGGAATGACATAATGATGTACCAGTATATTAGTAGTAAACTTCAATTTCACAGGACAAATGAAATATTTTACAAAATGATGCTGGCTTGCAATATCAAATTCAAGAGTTCCATGTAAAATGATTTTAGACCAGAAAAGCCTAAAGGTTATATATATCACCCCAAAATTTATAAATAAGAGAAATGGTCGAATAAATGTCCTTACCCCATCTTCAGCAAATGCATAAGCATGGATTCGGGTAGTTGGATCCTCTAGGGTAAACCTAACCCTATAAAGTCCATCACGACGGCGGCGGAAATCCTCAACTCGCCAAGGAACCACAGCAACAACTCGGATTACACACCTGAATCTCATTGGTACCTGGAAGGTTACCCGAGCAACAAATAAGCACAACTGGCACAACTCCAGTTAAACATTATTCTCTGGTTTTATAATGCTGCCATAGAATTCGAGCTAAATCTTATGTGAAACCATGGCGCCTCCTCTTTACCCCTCACAGGAACCCCCTTGAAAGCAATGAAATCATCAAGCTTAGTCGCCCCAATCGAAGGTAGTTATCAGATTATATTAGGTATAACCACCTATCAAGTGCCATTTTCACCAATCATCTTTCTCACTTGCATCGAGATAAAAGGAGAGAGTGGTCCCAATCGAGACAATTGCAATCAAACAGAGAAGAGAACCATCTGTCATACAAATGAAACTGAAAACAACCGGTGCTCAACTACTCGGTCCATCCGGACACCCAATGCCAGTTGGAACTACTACAACCATCAAGCCCAAACTTAAGCAACCAAAATATGTACACTATAAAGCCCAAACCAATTGTTGCAGAAAAAAAGTTTCAAATTTCAACCAAGTTCAAGACAAACTCAACCAGATCCCATTCATCTTGACAAACCAATAATATAGGTGGCTGTGTGTGAGGGTAGAAAAGAGATTGCAGATGATTCAAAATTTACAACGGTCTTAAAGGTGCTGAGGCATATTTTGGGCATTTTTGGATCAAAAGAAAGATGTGGTTGGGAGAGTGGGGACATGTCATCCATCAATGCATAATACCTTCTGACCAAAACAAAATGCACAAGGGTGCTATACCTTTTGATTTGTGAGAAGGTCCATCAATGTAACAAATGGCGCAGCATCATCACAGTTAACCTCTGATTAAGAGCATACAAAAATTAGAAGTACATCATCACAAATAAATTTCAATATGTTCCAGGTAAAATGTGATGGAGATTGAATCCAATATACCAAGAAATGAGAAATTGAAACAAATTATAGTAACATGGAACCTGTGATTTTTGATGCCCATGGAAAGCTCCAATATGGCATCCGATCTAGTTTACGTATTGATCGACGATCATAATTGCTGACATGTATGGATATGGTAAGAGAGTGAAACATTGAAAATTTCTGAAAAGAATATCAATCAAAAGGGACTATACAATCTATAACAAGGTACTGCATGCAACAAAAAAATCACCTCTGGCGCTCAAGTACGAGAATATCATCATTTGGCATATCTTGGATCTTTGAAGCAGATGTGAACACACCATACCATAATCCTTCATGCACTTTGCATGATACACGAAAAAGTTTCACCCATCGACCAGCTTTCAGCAACTGAAGGATATCTGTTATGCAGTTGACATCAAGGCGCATTCTTAAGATGGTTCCAGCAGTAGGAAATGTAGATAACACATCTCTTGATGAAGGCAACGGTTCGAAATGTAGAGGAAGCGGATTATGCATTTCATCTTCCAGCCTGTGGAGCATACTCAATAAATGAATAAATCTGTTAGATTACAAGTAAATAAGTACAAGACATAGTAAGCGTTACAGCTAAAAGCAGTTAAATTAGGCAAAGTCAAAAATGAAGCCAACTTTAATCATAAGATATAACGCTGTTGATAGACATATCTCAGTTTTATGAAGATATTGTGCCCCAAAGAAGGTGAGGGATGCACATGTTCTCCCTTTAATGTATTTCTTTTTCTTTTCTTCTTTTTACATCAAAGAAGTAAAAAGTTAACAACAATAATAGTACCAGAAAACACTTGAATATGTGACATTAATTCAGATATATTTATTATCATTTGGATTTTTTTTTAAAAATATTTATTGAATTAAATGGAAAGTAATGTATTAGTTATATTTAAAGTTATGTATTAGTTATATTTCCTTCTCATCATTAATTATGTATATTAAAAATGATATCTTCGATGTATAGGAATGATACAGATCCATCCAATTCCATTTTGGGATCTGTGTTACTTATAATTCTATTTTAAAGGTCGATTCATGAATTGAAATTCAAACTTGTTTTAATTGATGAACTTGATTTTGATTTTATATTATATATATAAAAATTTAAAACCAACAATATTATCCAACTAAGTCTAAACACATCTTCAAACTTAAATACATATTATTCAAACCCAAATGAAATAAGAGAACCCCAAGCAGAAATTAATATAAAATACAACTTAATTAAACAAATTAAAAAAGATAAAACCTAATATATTTTTTATTTCATTATTATTTTAAACTTCCGCTTTACTTTGAGTTATAGAAACAAAAATAGAAGAAAGTGGTTTCTACTTTGAATAATCAACCATCTCAAGTTGCCAACATAAATCATACCTCAAAGCAAAATGTGACCGAACAAATTTACTAATACCTAATAGTCAATGAGATTGAGAAATGATATTCAGCCGAACAAGTCCAGCAGACTTTTTTTTTCCTGATTTACAATGTAGTTTATCCTCACTTTAGGAAGTAATTAAGTGTTCTTTTGGAGTTTGGAAGAACAGATTGAGAAAATAGTAAATGACGTCAAATAATTTAATAATATACGTATCAGAAAACAATTATTTTTTATTAAAAAAAAAGCATACTTCCATTAACCTTTCTATTATTTCATCTGTTGACAGCCTTAACATTTTTTATAAATGAAAATAAACATCAAAAAGGTAAAACATCTTTCTACATTCTAAAGCACTTCTGTATTTAACACTATCTTAGCTTCTCTTTCAACAGTTTTTGAACAACTAAACTCAAATAACACTTCCTACAGCTGGACCAACCAGAATATAAGAGTTCAAAACGATTATTTATTCTATTTTTAGTGGACAATAATATTTATGTGTTGCTGAGGAAGTATCCTATTAAGACTCCAAAATCCAAATCTCTAGAAAATAGGTAAATTATGGTAGGTTTAACATTAAGGAAATTACAAGTAATTATGTCATAAAATCATGGATGCCTAAAATTTTGCTCTCTTACAATCTTTTTCTTTCTCAACATTTTCTAAATCTCCCCAAATTATTTTACATACAGATCTGTTTTTTCCCTTTCCAAGAATATATCAGATTTCAATAACCTTAACATGTTACCCTCAATAAGAACAAAATGTAAATTCATAAAGAAATTAAAACTCGCACGGTTCAGCTAGCTAGATAAGCACCTGCAATTTTTGACCTCAATCACATCCCCAAGCGATTCCTAATAAATCTTGCACAAATGCTCAGACCAATTTAATCTATTAAATCCATCAAATATGTCCCAATTGCCAAAATATTCCAGAATTTCTTCTTCACTTTCAGCAAGTGAGACAGCCTTCTGCCTGACCCTTTTCTACCTTTAATCAACCTATTAAAGAGTAAAGATTCAACTCTATCTCTCATATATAGGTCTCAAGAAACCTAATCTTCTAAATCCATAGACAAGTTAGGATAACAAACTGAATTAGAATAACTGGCTTAGTGTTAATAGCATATACCATATTTTAAGCTTTAATTATTTGTACTGAGAATACTTATAAGCCATAAAAGAACTAACTGAAACTCTAACTACATAAATCTGTCAAATATATAGTCAGGCAACCAACTTCCTGCAGTAATTAAAGCTAAACAAAGCTTAAAAAAATAAATTGTGAACCACAATCCTCTTATAGCATGGCAAGATATATAGTGTAATCTCAAGTTAATAACACTCATTACCATAAATGTAACTTAAGACTCGGACCGGAAAAGCAGAACCTTCCCAATCATATAATTGAAAGATAACAAGCCCATGAGCTCCAAGCAAGGACAAGGAAAAAACCATCCTTTCATAAGAAATAACTCAGCCAACAAATGCAGATCCCAAAAGATATAGAACACTGCACTTATCAGTAGTCTCCTTATCATCTTTACTTATACATTTTTTTCTTTCAGCATGTAATAGCATACAATTTACCAAGATCACAGAAATCAATTGCAACTGATTCACACAATGAAGTAAATGGCTTTGAGGCCTAACCAAATGCTTATTTATAGTTACAGTTTTAAATAAACAGAGCTACAGAGGAACAATTAAAGGATACCAATTGACCTTTTATTAATACTGATAGGTGGAGCATCAGTTCCATCCCAAAGAAAGACCATCCACTCATCATTAGTACTTTTGCATATATGAAGTACCTTAGCAGGGCCAAACATTAAATATGAAAATGGATCAGCACACCTTGAAATAATCAAAAGGCACCATCAACATATGATTAAATTGGACATATTTGAACAATACCATGCACAAAAATATAGCAGGGGAAATCAAAGTGATGCTTTAATACCTTGCAAGCTAAATTAACACCACCCACAATCACTTGGTTGATCTCCCTCAATAATAAGAAACCCAGCTCTACCAAGCACAAACATAAAAGAAAAAAAATTAAAAATATTTTTTAAAAAAAAGTGATGCTTTATATTGGGTGATGGGAATGACCAGATATTTGGCATCATAATTAGAGAGAATAACATAAAAAGAGCCAGAACACATTCATGACTTTTAATCTATATAAGCATGGGACCAAAACCCCAATGTATTGTTTTATCATAGATATGTGTGTGTTTGTGTCAAAACTCTTAGAAGCGTTAGAAAGGGTAAACTTGGGAACTGTCATTATCAGGCTAGTTCCAAATACTTGGGCTTATATGATCAACACAGTTGACCATAGAAGTTCCAAGAGAAGAAGGCTCAGTGTTGGCCACCACGATCATAAACTGCCAATCTGTGATGTCCGGCCACTTTCTTCATCTCAGCACTTTAAAAAGCTAAAATGTTGAAAATTTTCTTTAAAAAGAAGAAGGCAGAAGGCCAGCAACTTCTATTACTTCTAATATATTAGGATGGAAACTCATCAAGCATTCTCTGCTTGTTTATACCTAATGCATTTAACTACCATATGGTGCTAGGGTCTCTTCAACTAGCACAGGTTTCAAAACTTCAAGGACAAATTGAACTAAAATCAAGCTCTTCTAGCTGTAGATGCAAAGGCGAAGGGATTCAATAGAATTAAGGATGGGGTGAAGCAATCAACCTCAGTCTAGTGGATCACAAGTGAAAAATGGTTGATGGAAAAAATATAAATAGAAAAACCCCTTAAACCAAACACCAAACCCCAAACACCAAACAAAAAAATTAAAAAAGCATGGAATTTAGAAAGGAAAATTAACAATATGAAGCTTCTGAATTTTCTAACTGAAGGACGTGAATGGAGTAGAAATACAAGCAATTTCAGAAAACCATATTAACTCAAATATTGATTGATGTCAACTGAAATCACAAGTATTGATACTTAAGGCATACAACCCACCAGTTAAAGGTGAAATATAATCACTAGCAAACAAAAAGCATACCATAAATGACCTCTGAACTTGCTAACCATTTTCTGAGTCCTGCTATTATCTTTTCATCATGGTCTCTCGCATGAAATCGTAAAGAAACTTTATAAGGATGGAAATCTTCACCATCTTTCCCATCATACAAAGCAAATGAAGAGACCTTTTTGTTGAATACAGCATATACAACTCCATCATGCATTTCCATCTGCAGAAGGTAATTACCTTTATCAAACTAGATTAATGAAAGATAAAACACCATTTTGTTGAACAAACTTTCATCATAGAGTATGAGATAGGCCTTTGATTTGACCAAATTGATGAACCCAAGGACATGATTTGGGAAGTGCATAAAGCAGTAAAATTTAGTTTATGCAGTTAAATAAGAATTAAGACCATCTGCACCTCCATCTCCACTGCATCCTCTTAAGCCAACCATCCTCCTTTTCCTGCATGAGAGGGCTATGTCTTCCAACATAACAATTTTGGCCACTTCCATAAGGGATGTTTACTCAGAGTCATTGATAACTTGTTTTTATCAAAGTCATAGTATATTGGTTTCTTAAGTTCGATATTAATCAATTTTACTGATGTTTAACTTCATAGTTGTAACTTGTAACATTCCTTGAGGTTTGCAAGCTTACCAAGAAGGATTAGATTGTCGATGTCGGATCCAACACACCAGTTCAAGAGAGAGACTGTGGCTGACACCCACCCAACGATATGATTTGTATCCATGATGGTTGAGTTCTTATTGTTGTTGCTTCCTAGGTGAGGAGTTTTTTGTTTGAAAAGACTTGGTTTCAATCAAGTGTTCATAATACCACTACTTTGTTATGTATTCCTTTGGGTTTTATTTCTACCGGGATACTTACGTGTCCCTTCCCTATGTCTGATTTGCATTACCATGAAATTCCTCCTTGATAAAAAAAAGGAGTATTTTAAACATGAAATTAGTAAGGAATTACATATTGGTAGTATCCCAAACACCTAACTTTCCGTGAAAACCTATACAGATTCAGTTATAAGGTAATTAAGATGAAATATCGCAAGTGTTGAGAGTTTCAACAAAGTACGGTAAGAAAAAGTTAAAAGTTGAAATATGAACTGAGCATATTAAGGGGGTAGAAAAAAACACCTTGGATATTAATCAGAGCATACCTTGACAGATGAAAAGTGAATAATGTCCCCAACAGATGCAGCAAGAGGAAGATCGCCGATTTGTTGAGCAAATAAATGCACGGGAATCCCGAACTCATATGACTCATCAATTATTTTCAGCTTACAGATATAATCTGCAAAGAAACCATAAATTCTAGCCGATCAAAATAAGTTTACAACAATAAACGATCAAGAACGTCAGTAAAAAAGAGAAGAATCATTCCCGAAAAGAATCATATTCCGCATATCTACAAATTTCATAGAAGGATTGTAAACAGTAAGGAAAAAATGGTTTCATCACAGCCAGTCACAGTCACATTTGAACTCAAGCTTCGGATCTCGATATATTGCCGAGCAAACAAAACAAAAAAAAAGAGTAAAGAAATGGCGGTACCTACCGGTGCCTCTGGTTTTCTGGGGCGGACTGAGGTCGACAATGACGGCAATTATGTTAATGTTCTGATTAATGCAAGCAATGGCGTCCTTTATCTTAAGAAACTTGTAATCACCCATCTTCCCTTCTCTCTCTGCAATTTGTTAAGAAGTTTGAACGTCAACTTTTTTTCAGGCTAGGGTTGAGTATAGGGAAAAAGAGGCAAAATTTATTTTTTAAAGGGTATTTTTTTATTAAAAAAAAAGACCTACTAAAATAATTTTAAAAAAAAAACGCAACTCTCCATTTGGCCATTGAACTTACCCACTGCCCTCTTCTTAATATACCCCTGCTTTTTCACATTAGTCTTGAACTTTATTTAAATTTTGCTTTATATTATTTTTTAGGGTAAAGTATAGTAATAGTCACTGAACATTTCTGAAGCTTGCATTTAGGTCCCCCAACATTTAAAACTTGCAATACAGTCCCCCAACATTTATTCCGTTTGCAATATGGTCCCCAACTTAAACCACAGTTAGAAAATTATGATAAATTATATAAACGGTCATTGAACTTTTCAGTCACTTGAATTTAGGTCCCCCAACTTTTAAAACTTGCAAAACAGTCATCAATTTCATTCTAAACCCCAATTTCCAAAGTAATTCAATTTTATTCTAAACCCTAAATTCTAAAATACTTCAATTAAATTCTAAAATACTTCAATTTAAGGTAATATAGGATTGAAGAAAGAGTTCAAGGCACAGACACAATGAATAAAAAATATATTTATAAATGTATATTATATTTAGATGTATAAATAAAAATATTCATATATTAATGTATGAATCAGTTTATTTTTTGAATATTTTATTTTTAATAAGAAATTAAAATTATTATTATAGAAATACTCAACTTAAGATTATATATAATCATGAATTATAAATATGAAAATATAATTATTAAATTTAGTTTAAAATATATAAATCTTAAATTTATTCTTTTAAAATATTGTATCAACTAATATTTAAAAAATATATTAAATCTATCAACAATTTATCAAATAATATTTTTTATTGTAAAAATATAATATTTTCCCTCATTTATTGCTTTCAAATTTTTTGCCGAAGTTCAAATCTCATTATTTCCATTTGCATTATATTCTTTTTTTTCTGGCATTGATCATACTATTAGTATATGTATTATTGTATATCTCTGAACACAAACGATGGTGTTAGCTTAGTGGCTCCACCCTGTATCTTTCATTTGCGTGACTCAGGTTTGAGTTTGCCCAAGACCCAAATTTTACTTCTTTGTAACTTAATTTTCTTCTAATAGGAGGTGACATGTGTCACCAATAACACATATCATGATCATGTGTTAACCATGTCAGATCCTGATTAAATGATTAATTTATTAAATTTTATTTAATTTAGGACCAAATGATAGCATATATAAATAATTAGGTGGTACATGTGTCACCAATGACACGTGTCATGATCATGTGCTAACACATGTCAGATCCTAATAATGATTAATTTTATTAAATTTTATTTATTTAGGACCAAATTGATTATATAAATAATAAAGACTGAATGTATATAATACCATTCCTTTTAACTGCCACATCATCATTTTTTATCAATTGGTAACGACTAGTGGCTTAGTTTATATCCTAACTACTTTTTTTAATTAAAAAATTTCTTCAACAGATAAGAATTATACTATTATATTTATATAAAAAATACGTATCACATGAAATAAGATGAAATTAAATAATAATAAATTTGACATAATTGAATTTAATTTAAGTATTTTGGAATTTAGGGTTTAGAATAAAATTGAATTACTTGGAAATTGGGGTTTAGAATGAAATTGATGACTGTTTTGCAAGTTTTAAAAGTTGGGGGACCTAAATTCAAGTGACTGAAAAGTTCAATGACCATTTATATAATTTATCCTAATTTTCTAACTGTGGTTTAAGTTGGAGACCATATTGCAAACGGAATAAATGTTGGGGGGACTGTATTGCAAGTTTTAAATGTTGGGGGACCTAAATGCAAGCTTCAGAAATGTTCAGTGACCATTACTATACTTTACCCTATTTTTTATTGTTACTTCAAATCAATCATTCTTACTTCGAATCTCGAGAGATACCTCCAAAGACTAGTGATGTACCTTTACCACTGCGAATTAGAGAGGCAGTTGCAACGGGTCTCGGGGCAGCTGCTGCTCGTGCCAAGTTATTAGCTCTGCAGGAAGAGAGGGAGATTGAACATTTAGTCGCAACCATAATTGAAGCACAAGTGGGTTGAAGTTCTCTGTTCCACTTTCACTCGATGTTTATCATAAAGCTATTCGAATTATCCATAACCCATGCATAATATTTGTCCTTTACTTGAATATAGTTAAAGAAGTTGCAATCTAAAGTCAAGCATTGCGATGATGCGGAGCTGCTAATGGAGGAGTAGGGCGCAATCGAGGAACTCAAAGAGCACATCCTCTGAGAGCGGATTAATAATACCGGTACGTCTAAATTGTTGGAACCCAGTTCTGTACGACCACAAACCGGCAACATAAGTTAACGTGTTCTAGGTCAGTGTAGTGATGCAATGGATGCCGTTAATATCAGCGTTTAGGATTTTGAGTTGATGCTTTTGCTTTTGTTTATTATAGTTAAAACCTCTATGCATGCAATTATATATTTTACTTTATTGTTGGTAGGTCAGCTCTATCTCTCATCTCTATTCTACAGTTATTTTTATCTCTACTCTAAAGATGAAACAATAATTCATCTCCAGCGCTATCTCTGCATTATCAACAACTCTACTTTATTCGCAATATTTAACTATTATAATATTGATTTTACAAATATAAAATAAAACATATACATTTCTAAAAAAATATCAAGGTAAAAAAATATAATAAGAGAAAATAATTTAAAAAAGAAAATGAAATTAAAAAGAAAAAAAATTGTTTTTATAATCAACTTGAATATATTATATTATGTTTAATTTAAATATATTTTTATCTATATTGCAATTTAATCAACTTGAATATATTATATTATGTTTAATTTTTATTTTATTGTGTAGAAATTATAATTAAAAAGATAAAAGATATAATAAGAGAAAATAATTTAAAAAAGAAAATGAAATTAAAAAGAAAAAAAACCAAAAATCATGGAAAAAAAATTGTAGCGTTGCTACAGTAGCAACGCTACATATAGCATCCAGCTCCAATTGCTCTTCAGAGTAAAGATACATCTGGCGCAGGGCTGGAAACTCTACGGTGCTTCTCCAATTCCACTCCACCGCAGTGCTGGAGTTGCTCTTAGTAGGAATTAAAGGCAATTAAATAACACAGCATTTGTAACATTTGCATGATAAAGCTTCATTGTTTCAATGTTTTGGTAGAAGCTAAAAGTAGATTTGCGTTGTTTCAGTGCTTTCTTTGTTTATAATAATATTACAAACTAAAACATTAATTAATATGAGCTAGTTTGTATTATTATTATTGCAAGACAATGGAACTTTAAATTAAGATAAGATGAACTTATTTGAATCAAAATCGATTATATTATGGATTTGTATACATCCAATTCAACGTATCAAAAATATAAATCAAACATATTTTTAATGTCACAATGGAAACTTTAAGCTACGGTCATCCCGCATAAAAATAAAAAAATATTAAGCTTTAGTTACTTTTATATATAGCTTTCATAAGTGTTTAGAAAAAATTAATGTCAACATTTATTAATAAAAATAAGTTAGATTTTAATTAATTTTTTAAGTTTTGAAATGAGAGTAAGAGTTTAATTAAAAAAATGGTAAAATTATAAATATATATATATATGTAATAAATTATATATTTTTTTAAAGATACATTCAATCATAATTAGACATATATCATGTTGAAAAAGAAAAAATCAATACCGTGGTATATCATTCTTATTTTCTCATTTCCAAAATGTAATATGAGTTAAATCATTTTTTTAAAGAAGGACCAATTTGTTTAATTTTAAAATTGAGAAAGAAACTTAAAGATGTTTAAAATGTTTAAGTCAATTAGCTATAAAATATTTAAGTCAATTTGCTATATTAAAAGAGGTCAATTATTTATAGAATATTGAAGTCAATTATAAATTTAATATTTTGATTATTTAGAGAATTGAATGAGTTAATTAATATACCATTTTGCATTTTGTTTTTAAGCTAACTGGATTGAAACTTTATATTTTTCACATATGGATATTACTGCTTGGAGAGTTGAACACCGACTGGATTATTGCAAATATAATCATCTCATTGCCAATCATCACAACATGTACTCAAAAAGATCCATAAACTTGTACCGTTTAACATTCCCCGCAAACAAATTTCAAATAAATGTAGGGTCGAATATTGGAATGCGAGATTTTATTAGCATACGATGAAGTGCACAAGTTTCTATTTGCCCTTTCCATCAGGAGAATGGCGTCTCAAAATTCCATATTTAATCATCTGTTCCCTCGCCAACCTTTCGTATATGAAAGAGGCTCCCCGAAGATGTGGTAAAACCAGCCATGACATGAACAATAGCTTCACCCAGCACCATATAGGTATCCTACAATTTCCAATTAATATAACATTAACCAATTAATATTCGGAAATATATGAATATACCATTAACTAGTTTTGTTAAGCTGTTACCACTCTAGGACCGATTCAAACACCATCTCTGTTATAGTCAGCAATGAATAAAGAATCCAATAAGCAAGCCACTGTTCATTGTCTTCCCTGTTTGGACTCTCTATTGCCATGATCGATGCATATCTAATACACAAACAACAACAAAAATCAAGAAATTAACTAAATAAACTTTTAAAATCATAAAACCCCACCATAAAAAGTCCCAACTTTTTTTTCTTACAATGGATACAGCAACATCACCAAAGGCCTGCAAACATCATAAGGTAGCTTCAATTCATAAAATGCACAATATCAAGAGAAGGGTATTTATTTAATTACGATGAAAAGAGTGAAAAAAATACATACCCAGCTAGTGAATGAAGGGCAGTGAGCAAAGTCCAGAAACGACTCATGCTTCGACTCTTGGCTTTCAGAAAGGTGTGTGTTTGTTGTTGGTTGAAATCTAAGGCAAAAGGGGGACAGGATTTTATACACGGCCACCACGTGGGGACAGCGTACCAGGCGCCAAGAGGAGGAGCAGCGTCGGATACTTCCTTCGACGTGTGGTAAAAAATTAAGCATCATCCAGGTAGATTATTTGATCATATACTTGCTTTTAATTAATGTTTATCAATATTAAAGTGGGGGATTCAAGTGCTACCTACTTGAAGTTTAACAATTCTATCGCTATAATTTGAGTCTCATGCTTCCCTTAGTCTTCTACTAGGAGCCTCGCCATGAGTATACATATTTAGGTCTCTAACCGCAACACCAAATAATGACATAATGCAATAAGCATGATACATAACAAAACATCGAATATATATATATATATATATATATATATATACATACACACACATATCATGACATTGTCATCGATTAACATAAGCACTGGTACTAAAGTGCCTCAACACTGATACAAAAATGCATTAACAGTGATACTAAAGTGCCTTAGCATTGCTGGGATATACCTAGATATTTCACATTCATATAATTTAGACGATCATCACTTACACACACAAGTAACTCGAGTGTCCTCATCATTTTCCGAGCTGGAAACAAAGGTATAGTTCTTATGGAATCTTAACTCATAAGGTTATTATGATTAGCACACAATTTTCATTATTATCATATCGTTATTATTATAAAGCTCTTCTCTAGAGCTAATGTCTCAACACATGTAAACCAATGCCACATAAAGGCAATCGAAGTAGCTCGAATACTCGCTATCGAACTCATCATGATCAGGTGAGGTCATCCTTCACTCGACTCAATCTCACTGGTTATCTCATCTAGAATATTATGAAAGGGATTCTTACTCTTTTAGTATATTTTACCCTTAAGGCAATTATTATTCCTTGCTACCCATTTAGTATATTACTACTAGCCTCATACTTGATTCGGGGTTAGTTCATTAATAGCAACTCCCTAGTCGCTCTCATCACACTTCACATCGTTTCACCCTCGAACCTGTAACACCCCAAATTATAGGTTAGTAGTCTCGGGTCAACCTGAGAGAATTTTGGGTAAACCCAATAAGCTTTTAAGAAGCCTTGGTCAAAACAATAAGAGGGTTTGGTTTGAATTGAGCCCAATTAGGATTAAAAAGGGTATTTTCTAATTGGAGTCAAACCAATGAGGACAAAAACTGAGATTTCCCTTAAAGATTTTAAAGGTTGAATCTCTTTTATGAGAAGTGAGGTCACGTTTGAAACAAAACATAAAATTGGGAAGTTCTCTTCCACCTCTCTTTTTCCTTACCATAGTCTCTTTCCCCATTCAATTCCCTCATTCATCTTCTCTTTTGTGACCAAGCAAAGGTAAGAAATTATTTCTCAACATCCCAAGCCCGGATTAGTGAAGGTAAGAACTGAAATCATCTCATCTAGAGCTCCCAATCAAGCTCTCAACTTTAGAGTTTGACCATGATTGGTTTTAAGGAAGGCTTTGTGTTCTAGAGTTTGAGGAGAAGCTCCAACTCCTTCATAATCCTTAGAAATCTTGTTCTTACCTCCCTTCAACCCTTATATGAGTTAATAACTCATTTCCATTGTTTATTCTAGTGAAAGAAGTGGATGAAAGCTCAACGAATAAGGAAAAAGAGAATGAAGTCCTTGAGTGAGCCTTGAAGTGTTCTAGTAGCCTCTTTGAGTAAGGTAACCTACATCTAATATTTCTTTATTATCTGTAGATCAATATGTGTAATCTTTGATGCATGTATGACTATTTGAGCCTATGTATTCACTTGGGGGTTTAAAGCATGGAAAATGGGATTTGTTGTTATTCTTATGTAAAGTAATGCCTTTGATGTTCCTTTAGTGCAAATAAGCTTTAAATACCAAAGGGGGCCTTGGGGGTACTTTTAGAGATATTTGGTGTATCTTTGGCTTAAAAAACATAGCATTCTAGACCGATGGTATCGATACTGTAAGAATAGTACCGATGTTTCCAGACGAGGGAAGAAAAATTTAAAGAGTTTATGAGGAGGGTATCGATACTTCTTCAAGGAGTATCAATAATGTTCGAGTGATATTGATACTCAGGATTTTAGTATCGATACTCAAGAAACATCGAAGCTAAATTTGGTACCGATACTAAGGTAGTATCGATACCAGTATTCAAACTTCTAATTGGGTATTGATACTGAGACTATTTTTCCAAGAATCGAATGCAAATTTGGTACATATACTCGAGGAAGTATCAATACCATAAAGGGGAGTACTGATACCCAGGTAGGAGTATCAGTACCATCATGATTTTTAAGGCTGTAAGCCTAGCTTGAATTAGAATGGAGAAATTCAAAGTGATCGGTGAGGGGAGCCTTCTAATAAGATTACAAGTGAAATACCTTAATAAACCTCATAATAACATAAGTTCTTAATAAAGTAAGGTTTCATAAGACTTATGTTTGCTTGATGCTCAGGGAACGTTGTGAACACTAGAGTTACTTGTGTACGATGTTAGTGTTATTGAGTAAGGATTATCCGGATATATCCAATGTAGTGATTAGGCACCTTGAATGCTAGTTGGAAATTATCTCGATGCTATGTGACCCTGACACGACCCGAGTACTCTAGAGGAGTAGATTAGCTGGGCTTATTGAGTAAGGATTATCCGGATATATCCAATGTAGTGATTAGGCACCTTGAATGCTAGTTGGAAATTATCTCGATGCTATGTGACCCTGACACGACCCGAGTACTCTAGAGGAGTAGATTAGCTGGGCGAGGTACCAAAGCTATGTGACCCAGACTTAACCCGATGTTTAGGAAGACGTTGATGCTTTGTGACCCATGTCTTCCTAAGGTTTTAGTAAACAAAAAAGGGTGTGAGTTCCGTGAGGCTATGTGACACCCGAGCTACACCATGATGCTTGCTCTTGTTGTTGTTCCATTGTATGAAATGTTCGTTACTATACTTGTATCGTGCCTATATGTGTTGAATGCATGTAGTATAGTAGGGTTATTTGTGTGGCACTGAGCTTGTGAGCTTATGGAATGTGTTTCCATGCGCAAGTTCTTAGGTGCTAGTTTTGAGGAGCTTTTCACCAAACTTGGATTCCAAACTCGATTCTTTCTTCAGAGTAGGTCTCGAATATTATAGAAGGCATATACTATCATAGACCCTAGTTATATTTATTGAGTCATAACCCTATTTGGTACTATCATGTTTTGGAGAATTATTGTTGGGAGTTTCCCATATTTAAATACTTATATTTGTATCTCTTTTTACTTTAAATATTTTGTGATACACTTTAGGTTAAATTGGTTAATGATTTCAAAATATGGTTAGATACTTAGGTGGTTCCTACATTTAGTTATATCATAGCGTCAGGTTCAGTCAATTTTTGGACCCGTAGGTAAGAGTTGTTAGGTGTCAATGAAGTACATGCATGTAGAGTGTCAAACGTACTTAAGTGCATGGAAATTGGTGATGTTGACTCTTCTCTTTGGAAATTCGTAGGTTATGACAAATGACCCCACCCATAGTTAGGAGGGTCGAGTGGACAGTTGTGCCTCATTAACTGGAGACTCGGAGAATGAATTCGCTCCTGATTCTAATGAGATATATATCAAAGGAGAGGCCGGGATAGACGAGGTCATCTTCTTTAGAGACTTCATGTGGACGTTGAGGCAGATCACGAGAGCTCTCCCTAGGTCAGCCATTGCACCACTAGTGCTACCTCCAGTATCTTTCAGGAGTCACAGGTTGAGAGACTATGCCTCTGCAGAACGAATAACTTTTTGGGTTATAAGGTTGACAACTTTGTACTCGTAGACTAGTGGCTTCACGATACACTCTGTACGTTGTGACATCTTTATATTACCCCCGAGGGTAAGTTAGAGTGTATCACCTCTCTGTTGAAGGGTGATACCATAGATTGGTAAGAGACTGTAGAGCTGGCATTAGAGCCCGAGCGATTGACCAGTGAATTATTTTTATCGGAGTTTCAGTTGATATACATTGTAGAGTCCCACACCGACCACCTGAGAGACAAATTCATTCACCTTCCCCTGGGTGATCGCCCTGTGTTTGAGCATGAGAGTGAGTTCTTGCGCTTGAGCCGCTACGCACCAGAACTGGTTTATACTAAGGAGCACTACTATAGGAGGTTCAAGGAGGGCCTCTATATATATATCCTTACTCATTTAGCTGTCGACCAACCCAAAATGTTCACCGAGCTGACCATACAGGCTAAGGTGATTAAACGGATCCTAAGCAAGAAGGCTCGTATCGCGAGTGAGAGTGGGGAACAAAGCCACCAGACCCTAAATACTTCTAGATCATCCCATACTTTATCCAAGAGGGCCACAGACTCTTGAGGGTCGTGACGACCTTCCTCTTCTCAGTCTCAAAGATCGAGACAAGATTCAAGCCATGAACATAGATCAAAGGGTCGTTGGAGGCCATTGACTTTAATATCTAGGGCGAGCACTGAAGGATCAAACAAGAGCATGCAACCCCTGGCTTGTAAACATTGCAACTGAGTTACTCTGGGGAGTTTCATAGAGTTTATCGAGCTTGTTATGGCTATGGATCACATGAGCACCTTATCATGGATTGCCCCGAGGCAGGGAGTGTAGCATCGTCCGTGATGCAGAGGGAATCTTAATCAGCTTAGAAGGGCCGAAGATCCTTTTAGAGAGAAGGTAGTTCTGCTCCGGATAGTAGAGTCAAGGCACTGCCAAATTTGTAGCTGATCTTGAGGTTAGGTTTGCCTCCCTTTAGTAAGCAGTCAGAGCTTGGGAGGACTGCAAGGCCGCTGATGTCATCTTAGATATCTTTACAATTTCTAGTATGTTTGTTACTGCTTTATTAGATCCCGAATCGACCTATTCTTATATCTATTATGACCTCATCCAGGAGAGTGATATCCCAGCGAGGACTTAGAAGTCAATGTTTGAGTTTCGAGTCCTCTAGAGTAAGATGTGTTAGTGGACAAAGTTTACTGTAA